AACGAGCAGCGTTTGTGTTGTCAGCAGGAGAACACTCCTGCCGACAACACAAACGCTGCTCGTTGGGGATGGGAGTTTTTTGTCAGCAGGAGAGCCGACAAACAGCAGCTACACTGCTCGACTTTTAGCGGCACGGCAGTGGCGACACAGCCATGTCGCTAAAAGCTGTGTAATGTAGACAAAGCATTAGTATGTGTTCTTGTTTTGTAATAGGTTCCAATCAAAATAGTTGTAAAATAGCTTTGAAATTGAACAAGTTACTGTTGCTAAGTAGGATTGTGAAACAGTTTGCATGTGTATATTATAGTTAGCTTTGGAAAAGATTAGATTTGTATTTGTATAGCTATCTTCTCTTAGCATTGCAGTGTCTACATTGGTGGTTATGCTGGCATAGCTATGTCTCTAGAGGGCGTGGGGTTTCTCACACCCCTGACTGACACAGTTATGCCATAAGAAGTTTTAAGTGTAGGACCAACCTTTAGGTTGCGATTCAGTAATTTAATATGGGCAGATAGATTCCTACATCCGAGAAGAGCCCCAAAAGTCACGGCATGGAGCACTCTGCATGGGAGAAGGGCCAAAACTGTATATTTGTAAAGCAATCCCCTGAGATGAAAGAGTATCTTGTTGGCCTCTTTAAAAAATGTAGAAGAAAAAGTCACTATTTTAAACAACCACTAACAGCATAAAACAGACTAAGATTTGTAGAAGTGGGTGCCTAAACTTAAGTTAAATACATGGTTAAATGTTCAAAAACTGAATGCCTAGAAATTCCCCTTGACTTCAGTGTGAGCTTTTGTGCTCATTTGAAAATCTAGTCATTTATTTAGGGCTTGGATCTTCAAAGGAGTCTAAGGGTTTGTCTACATAGTACATTATTGCCCACCAGCTAGGGTGTAAATTCTAGCATGCATAAGTGAGTTGTGCACTAACTGACACATGTGGACCCTGCTGCGTGTTGACATAGTCGTGTTTCAAGTAGGACTCTGTCAATGTGCTCTAGATAACTTTTAGTGCACACAGCAGGGTCCAAACAGACAGTTTGTGTGCAACATGCTGGTGCACACTAGAATTTACAAGCTTGCTGGTTCTACACTAATGTGCCGTGTAGACAAGCCCTAAAGGGAAGATTCACAAAGGAGACTTAGGCTCAGTGTTGCAACACCCATGTTTGGAATCACACCACCACCACCACCACCACCACCAGCTGTGTTTTGTATGGAGCCCAATCTCGTAGGCATCCTCTAAGGACTACCACTGCATCAGCGAGTTAGGCAGGGGAATGCCTAGTTTGTGAATCCTGCCAGGGCTTAGGTGTTGAGTGTCAAAATTTGAGCATGGGCACTGCTGCCTACCAGCAAAAATGTAGGTGCCTAGCAAATTTAGGCACCTACAGGGTTTGGCAGCAGCTAAGCAGAGGTTTTGAGGATCTAAATATTGGACTTAGGTACCTGAAGCAGCAGTTAAGCACCTAAATCCCTTTGTGGATCTAGCCTTAAGTGCCCATATGTGGATTTAAGATCCTGACTTTAGGTACCCACTTTGAAAAAGGAATGCTCAATTATCACTATCATATGCAGACATAGCTACACAACACAATTTGTAAAAATCTGAACATCTTAAATCACTTTATTCAGTAAAGATAAGACATTTTGAAACGTTCTTAATTGGACTGAGCAGATTTACACATGAATTGAAGTGTGTGGATTAAAAATTTGATATGTCAAAAGAAACATTGAAAAACAAGCGAGGAAATATACGGTTTACAGCTTTGTTCATTTACACCAATTATTTATAACTCATCAGTGGAACTTGGCTTTTGTGTAAGCTTTCCATACAAAATTGTAGTTTACTTGCCAGAATTTCCTCTCTCCACCAGCACCAGGTATATATGCTATGTTTTCAGTGTGACAGCACTGCTAATGGTTAACAGTCACCTTTACAAATTTGCATAATATCGATCCCGGTTCTGAAAGTTTCTGTAAGCATACTTGGCATCTGATTTACTATGTGGGACTCTTCCAAATGGTTCATGATCATTGAAACAGGAGTCAAAAACTCCATCCACAGCTTTTTCTGCTGTTTCTTTGCTAACTTTTCTAACAGCCAAAATGGAGCGAATGGCTCTGTCTCGTACACAGGTCTAAGAGAAATGGAGAAAAAAATTGTAGTTACAATTTGAGGATTTAAGGTCACAAGTTACAAACCCTTTTGTACAGATCTATCCAAATGTTAGTTCCTACTGCACGTGTATCAACATAAAGGTTACAGTTAATTATGTATCACAGAAAACTGACACCATTCCAAATACAGTAACTCCCCACTTAACGTCCTCTCGCTTAACGTTGTTTCGATCTTGCGTCCCTGCTCAATTACAGAACATGCTCCATTTAAAGTTGTTCAATGCTTCGCTATAATGTCGTTTGGCTGCCTGCTTTGTCCACAGCTGGCAGCCCGCCCCCCCCCCCCACTCAGCTCCCCTAGCCCCCCCCCCCAACGCCTCCTGCCTGCCAGCAGACCCTGCAGATCAGCGCTTTCCCCCCCCTTCTCCCCCTGCCTCCTGCCCGCAGCAATCAGCTGGCTTGAGGCGTTCAGGAGGGAGGGGGAAGGAGCGAGGACTCGGCACATAGGCTCCCCCTCCCTCCTCTGCCTCCCCAACGCTGCAAACCAGCTGATTGCAGTGGGCAGGAGGCAGGGGAGGGAAGGGGGAGCCTGCACTCCAAGTCCTCGCTCCTCCCCACTCCCTCCTGAACGCTGCAAGCGAGCTGATTGCTGCAGGCAGGAGGCAGGGGAGTGAGGGGGGAGGAGCGAGGACGCAGCATGTGGAGTAAAAGGGGAGGAGGAGGCAGGTTAAGGGTGGGGGTTTGGGGAAAGGGGTGGCATGGGCGTGGGCGGGCCGAGGGTTGAGCTCCCCTGCCCCTGGTGCTTGCAGAGTAGGGAAAGCTGCCACTGCTGCTGCGCAACGTGCTTCTCCTA